ACTCTCTAGATCCGCGAATGCTTGTTTGGAGCTGGAACACTGACCATGGGGGTAAGGCTGTCTGCTCGATTCTTTGAGCAAAGGAAGCCAAGAACCAGAGCCTGGAGCCCAAGCTGCAAATCCGGTTACACTGCTATCAGGCAAGGGGACAAATAAACTAATAATTTAGTGGAAAAGTCCAAAATATACCCAAAGGACAAAGTGAGAACATGCTGGATTAACTGGAGTATTAGGCTTATTTTCCATTATCGAAAAGAAGATAGTTTAGAAGGAACAGTATTCTTGGAAACTTTTACAATGATGACATACTCATGTGTTGCTTGTATAATTTAAAAACACAAAGAAATTATAATAAAAGAGATACTACTAAGTCTGATAATACCAGACTCACAGGTATTATCTGTGGCTGGTGTGGCAGACAAAGTTTGTTGGCCATTATTATTATTATATTTTTTTTTCTGAGATGGCATCTCGCCATGTCACTGAGGCTGGCATGCAATGGTGCAATCTTGGCTCACTGCAACCTCTGCCTCCCGGGTTCCAGCAATTCTCCGGCCTCAGCCTCCCGAGTAGCTAGGATTACAGGTACATACCACCACGCCCAGATAACATTTTGTATCATTAGTAGAGACAGGGTTTCACCATGTTGGCCAGGCTGGTCTCGAACTCTTGACCTCATGATCTGCCTGCCTCGGCCTCCCAAAGTGCTGAGATTACAGGCATGAGCCACTGCGCCCGGCCTGTTGGCCATTATTAACAGCACTACTGAACCTTCTTTTCCTTTTCCCACCTCCAAAAGTAGATGGTGAAAAAAAAAATCAAGATAATTTCCCAGCATTCCTTATAGCAAAGGACGGCCATGTACACCAATTTTAGCAAGTAAGATGGAAGGAGGGAGTCTGTTGGGGGGCTCCTGAAAAACATTTTGTTTTCTGATATAACAAAAGCTGTTTTCCCTCCCTCTCCTTCCTGCTTGTCTTGAACATGTTTACATGTAGTTGTGATGACTGGAACTGAGCCAACTATTTTGCCACTATGAGGTCACAAGCTGAAGAAAGAAAAGCCAACATTCTGAAGATAGCAGAATGCAGAGATAAAAAGAGCCTGAGTTCTTTGACATTCATCAGTTACAGCCTAAACCTGAAACTGTCACCTGTCCAGTTGACAGTTGACAAACTGTCCAGAGGTATCATAAGAACCTCTAAAGTTCTTATGAGAAAATTAATTTAGCTTAAGCCATCGTTAGGTATTCTAACTTATTTTATTTTTAGAGACAGAGTCTCGCTCTTGTCACCCAGGCTGGAGTGCAATGGCATGATCTCAGCCCACTGCAACCTCTACCTCCTGGCTTCAAGCCATTCTCCTGCCTCAGTCTCCTGAATAGCTGGGACTAAAGGCACATGCCACCATGCCCGGCTAATTTTTGTATTTTTAGTAGAGACAGGGTTTCACCATGTTGGCCAAGCTGGTCTTAAACTCCAGATCTCAGGTGATCCACTCGCCTGGGCCTCCCACAGTGCTGGGATTATAGGCGTGAGCCACCGCACCCAGCCACTGTGACTTATACTCAAATGTACCCTAGGTGACAGATCTATGAAGTTCAGTACAGAATGCAGTGACCAAAATTAGGTGTCTGAATCCTACATAGGCAAAAAGAGTCTAATTTCTGAACTTCAAATGAACATTTTGGAATAGCAGTGGAATATGTCATTTCCACAGTATGGATGGCAGCTTCAGTAAGAGGCCCAATCTGAAATAATGTAATTTCAAGGATATTTTAATAGTCACTGGGAACAAAGTAACAGAACTCTTTAAATCAAAACTATCCTGTGATCTGGCATAGTAGACATCAATTGGTTTGTTTGCGCAGCAATCCCATACAACCAAAACTGGATTATTCGTCTTTTTATTATTGAGTTTTGAGAGTTCTTTATATATTCTGAATCTAGTCCCTTATCAGATAATATGCTTTATAAATATTTCCTCCCACACTGTGGTCTGCATTTTCACTTCTTTGATAGTGTCTTTTGAAGCACACTTTGGCTGTTTATTGCAACATTACTCGATAATAACAAAAGACTGGAAATAATATAGCTGTACATCAAAAGCGGATGGGTTGAATAAACTATTGTTAAGTCTACACAATGGAGTATTATGTGACTGTAAAAAGAAATAAGGAAGAGCCTCATATACCACTATGAAGTGATATTGAAGATATACTGTTAAAATGAAAAAAGGAAGGTTCAAGAGAATGTATAGAGTATGCTACTACTTATTTAATAAAAGGGGAACATGTGAATATGTTTAAAAATTTACTGTTTTAAAAATCTAGAAAAAAAAAAAGAAAGAAGAGAAGGAGGAAGAGAAAGAGGATAACCCCAAACCAAATAGAGTTTTTTTTTGTTTTTTTTTTTAAGTTATTATGAAGAGAGGGAGAGAATAACATTGAAGAGACAGGGATAAAAGCTAGACCTCTCTAAAAGTAACTTTTTGCAAATTTGACTTTGAAACCATACAGATGCTTTTTTAAAGTTCAGAATCAAAAGCACCATGAAGCAAATGAACCTAACTGGATACTGAATTGGTGACTTAACCATATTGACAGCAATAATTTAAATAAAATTAAAAACAAGTAATTTGACAGTATGTTCCCGGTGGGATATACTGCCACAACAGAAATAGCTACAAAGAAATCTTAAACTGTTTTCAAAACTCAAATTGTTAATAACAATTATTAATACCAAATTATTATATGGTTGTACATTTTTATTTATGTTAGGATAAGTAATTAAGTTAATGTACTTATGAAGCAAGATTTCATGTAAATATATAAAATCAAAGAAGTTAAATAAAAACCCTATACTCCTTAATTTGCATTGGAAATAATAGTTTTTGAACTCATGTTATATTTTATCCTTAAATATATGTACGTATTTTTTAGCCTGGTTTTAAGAGAATAAAAATTCAAGCCATAGACTGGAACTAAATATTTACAGACCATACATTCAATAATGGATTTGCATCCAACTTGTATCCAGAATATATTAAAAAATTACCTTCAAAACTCAGCAGTAAGGAAATAACACAATTAAAAATGAGTAGAAGACATTTCACCAAAGGGGATATACAGATGGCAAATAAGCACATAAAAAGATGTTCAACATCATAGCCATTAGGGAAATAAAAATTAAAATCAAGAGGAGATACCAGGCTGAGCAGAGTGGCTCAGCCCTGTAATCTCAGGACTTGGGGAGGCCAAGGTGGGTGGATCACCTGAGATCAGGAGTTCAAGACCAGCCTGGCCAACATGGTAAAATCCTGTCTCTACCAAAAATGCAAAAATTAGACAGGCATGGTGGCACATGCCTGTAATCCCAGCTACTCTGGAGTCTAGGGCAGAAGAATCACTTGAACCCGGGAAACAGAGGTTGCAGTGAGCCAAGAACCCACCACTGCACTCCAGCCTGGGTGACAGAGAGAGACTCTGTCAAAAAAAAAAAAAAAAGAGAGAGAGAGAGAGAGAAAAGAGGAAATACCACTATATACCTATTAAAATGGCTAAAATGCAAAACACTGACAATACCAATTGCTCACAAGGATTTGTAATAACAGAAATTCTCAATCATTGCTGGTGGGAATAGAAAATGATAATTTCTTATAAACACACACCTACCATACGGCCAGTTACAAATTACATGAAAGCAAGCATCCTGTCATTCACAGGGAAGCAATGACCATTTTGCTATAATTTTCAACTCCTTATACGTGCAAGCAAAGCTTTTCTTGTTTAACAAGTATCAAAAAGAAGGCCAGAAATCTTCTCATTCCAGTTGAAAATGAAACTGATAGATGCTTATTTCAAGTTTGACCCAGAATTATTTATGTGAGAAAATACAAACACAGATTTCAGAGTGGAGAGGTATATTTAATTATTTATTTTTAGCCTTTAAAAAATAAGACTCTTATGTACATACAGGTAAATAAAGAAATCAAGATTATAATTTTGTAACTACCTATCTTAAAGCCCAATCATGTCAGTCAGTAAAAGAAGTTATATATATATATATATTTTTTTTTGAGACGGAGTTTCGCTGTTGTTACCCAGGCTGGAGTGCAATGGTGCGATCTCGGCTCACCGCAACCTCCGCCTCCTGGGTTCAGGCAATTCTCCTGCCTCAGCCTCCCGAGTAGCTGGGATTACAGGCACGCACCACCATGCCCAGCTAATTTTTGTATTTTTAGTAGAGACGGGGTTTCACCTTGTTGACCAGGCTGATCTCGATCTCTTGACCTTGTGATCCACCCGCCTAGGCCTTCCAAAGTGCTGGGATTATAGTCGTGAGCCACCACGCCCATCCAAGAACTTAATTTTTAAGTCTTGTATAAAATTGTATCTTAGGTTATATTTTTACTCATAATGGTTTGTCATATGGTTTTAGTAGCTTTATTACCTAACATTGTCAATACATTCTCATGCTGTAAACAGCATTAATTACAATGAATTTACAACCGTCATTTAAATTGAATCATCTTAGCCTACTTTTTGAAAAAGTCAATTCCATCTTATTATATAAACGGAAATAATCTTGCTTTTTTTTTTTTTTTTGAGACGGAGTTTTGCTCTTGTTACCCAGGCTGGAGTGCAATGGCGCGATCTCGGCTCACCGCAACCTCCGCCTCCCGGGTTCAGGCAATTCTCCTGCCTCAGCCTCCTGAGTAGCTGGGATTACAGGCACGCACCACCATGCCCAGCTAATTTTTTGTATTTTTTTTTTTTTAAACGGAGTTTCACCTTGTTGACCAGGAAATTTTGAATTCTTTAACACGTTTATCTTATGCTGACTGAAGAGTTTTTTTGATTGTATGAAAAGGAAACAAAGGTAAGGTAGACTGCCTGTTTTTGTTTTGTTTTGTTTTGCCACGAGGTGTGTTTTGTTTTCATTATTCATATAAATAATTTTCTATAATATCCTGGGGCAAACTGGAGAATTCGGCAGTCCGATTGGCGGGGGGGTCCCTTCACAGGCCGGTGGCATTGGCGCGGAGTGCCCAGGTTCACAGTGCAGCTTGTGGCTCGTGTCCATCTTGCAGGTGGCTCTTCCTCCGCATCAGGACTAGGGTCTCGAAGATGACGGGGGCAGGAAATCCTCCAGGCTCTTAGGAAATTTCACTCCGCTTCTCCTGCTTAATGGTCTCTTTGGTCGGCAGGGTGTTCGTCTCCTGTGTCTCCGTTTTCTTCAGCTTGGCCTTATCGAAGCTGGCGATTTCTCCCATGTCTGGTTTGTCTGCCATTTTCTTAAAACAATCCGTACGGTCCTGCTCCAAGCCCGGGTTCCTGGTGCTCCTACTCGCGTTGCTGTAGCAAGAGACCTGTTTTTTTGTTTGTTTGTTTTTTTGTTTTTTTCCTCAAAAAAGCTGGTGAAAAGTCGTTTTCAGTTTTAAATATGGGAGAAAACTACTCTTGTTCATACCATATACGATATACCATTCCTTAATTATAGGCCTTAATTCAGGCCTACTTGGATAAGGTAAAAAGAAAAAATAAATCAAGTAGGAAATTTTACCACAAGACAATCTGAAGCTTCCTCTACTACATTCACATTCACTTTACGGTTGATACCCAAAGAGTAGGTAAATAAGTTGGCTGAAATCCAGAGATACACAGAAAACTACCACTCTTTACTTTAAAAAGACAATTATTATTGGATTAGTATATCTACAACATTCTCATTCCAGTTGAAAATGAAATTGATGTGTGCTTATTTCAAGTTTAACCCTTAATTATTTATGGGAATTTATTTATTTCACATAAATTGGGAACTGGCCATATGGCAGGTATGTGTTTGACTTTATGAGAAATAACCATTTTGCATTCCCACCAAAAATGAGTGAGAATCCCTGTTATTCCAAATCCTTGTAAGCAATTGCTATTGTGTTTTGGATTTGAGCCATTTTAACAGGTATATAGTGGTATCTCATCTTGATTTTAATTTTTATTTCCCTAATAGCTATGATGTTGAACATCTTTTTGTGTATTTATTTATTATCACAGATTGTGCTAATGTACCATGGGCTATAGATACAGCTTTTATGCAAGAATTCTCTAAGACCTGAAAATCATTTCAAAGACTCCTCAGGGTAAAAGGATTGAGATTTGAGGTGATGAAAATGTTTTGAAACTAGTTAGAGGTGATAGCTGCACAATGGTGTGAATGTACTAAGCTCCACTGAATTTTATACTTTCAAATAGTGATTATATTCATGTTACATGAAATTTACCTCAAAAAATTTTAAAAAGTATATTGAGAAAGGCTGACGAGGCTGCCTGAAGGGTGAGAGATGAGATCTGACCTTCAAAGAAGCTGAAGATCTGAATTTAAATAAGAATTGCACAGTCTGGACAATATAGCGAGACCCCATCTCTGCAAATAATAATTTTAAAAATTAGCTGGGCATGGTGGCGCCTGCCTGTAGTCCCAGCTACTGGGGCAATGGAGGTGGGAGGATGTCTTGAGCCTAGGAGGTTGAGGCTGCATGCAGTGAACTGTGAGCTGTGATCATGCCACTGCACTTTAGCCTGGGAGAAATAGCAAGACTGTATCTTAAAAAAAAAAAAAAAAAAAAAAGATGGAGGTGGCTCGAATGAGTGTTTTTCAAACGCTGACTGCACAACCACAGTAACAGGCATGTAATGCAGGCCAGTTCACATACATACACAAGCACACACAAGAAGGACAAACAAGTCCATGAAGCAGTTAACTCTTCTCAAGTATAATACACTCTAATTCTTTACTCTATCCCACTCATTTCTTTTTCTTTATTTTTGCCTTAAAAAAAGGGGGGGTGGGGGCAGGGCATAGTGGCTCATGCCTGTAATCCCAGCACTTTGGGAAGCTGAGACAGGCGAATCACCTGAGATAGGGAGTTTGAGACCAGCCTGACCAACACGGAAAAACTACTAAAAATATAATATTAGCCGGGCATGGTGGTGGGTGCCTGTAGTCCCAGCTACTCAGGAGACTGAGGCAGGAGAATCGCTTGAACCCAAGAGGCAGAGATTGCAGTGAGCCAAGATCTTGCCATTGCACTCCAGCCTAGGCAACACGAGTGAAACTCTGTCTTAAAAAAAAAAAAAAGAAAGAAAGAAAGAAAAATGCTGGTCATGATTCATTAAATTCTTATTTTATTTTAGTTTATTGCTGCGAATTCAAGTATGTTTTCTTTCGTCTTAAGGAGGACTGTGCTTCATTGCAAATTAGATGATGGGCTATTTACAACAAACCCTCCTAAGATGGTGGCAAGGTAGCTTCATTAAAAGCAAAAAGAGCCGCCATGCCTATAATCCCAGCGCTTTCGGAGGCTGAGGCGAGTGAATCACCTGAGGTCAGGAGTTCAAGACCATCCTGACCAACATGGTAAAACCCCATCTCTACTAAAAATACAAAAATTAGCCAGGCATGGTAGCAGGTACCTGTAGTCGCAGCCACTTGAGAGGCTGAAGCAGGAGAATCGCCTGAACCTGGGAGGCAGAGGTTGCAGTGAGCTGAGATCACACCATCGCACTCCAGCCAGGGTGACAGAGAAAGGCTCTATCTTTAAAAAAAAAAAAAAAAAAAAGGCAGAAAGAGCGAGCTCCTCATCATTCATTAGAGATACTCAGGATCAGGATGGTCTACACAACCATCTGTCCAAAATACTATAGAAAGGATTTTTGGCTTTGGCTGGAAATGTCCCTTTTAATTTTAATATTCTCATTTTAACAATATGCCCAAGATTCTCTTGCTCAATATGAGTTCAGCATGGAAATTGTTGGAAAAAAAGATATAGTGTATCTGGAATTTAGCTGTGATCTTTCCCAAAGGTTTTCAACTCATATCAAAATAATTTTAATATCATCAGAGTTACAAACGTTCATATTTTAGAAGGCACAATATTTCTTGTATTTCAGAGAGAGAAATACAGGTTGCATATCACCTAGCTGCGGACAGAAATCCATCTATTGCTTATGACTGACCACTGGCAGCTAAGTAAGGGGGCACATAAGTTCCTTTTCAATTTCTATGGAAAAGCAATAAAAGTTAGCTGTGTTATAATTTTAAGTCCAAACAGCCAAGTAATTATGCTATCTACAGAAGGCCAAGTGTTTTTCACTTAGTAATTTAATTCAGTAAGGTGGCGGCGGGCGCGGGGGTGATGAAAAGGCCAGATACAGCTTTACTTACTTTCTGACCATTCTATGCCAGAGAACATCCAATATTTTAACTAAGTACAAGTTTTTAAAATATTAATCTTTGGGCAATACATAGTATGTTTAGTACCAAGGCTAGAATAACAGTTTTCTAAATGCAGCCACCTAATTTTGGCACATACTAGGATACTCAATAAATAAATACTGACTTGTTGAATGACAGTCCAAGGTGTCTAATAAGTATACTGTCATTCTCTATTACACACACACACACACACACACACACACACACACACACACTCTCCCATTGTTCCCAGGCATAAAGTAAATAAATATTCTAAATACTCATGAGCCTAGAAATAGACCTACAAATAGACCAGACAAGTAGATGGATGCTTGATTTTTGACGAAAGTGGCTCTGCAGAGACATAGAGAAAGAGTAATCTTTTCCAAGAATTATTCATCAAAAACATCATTAGGAGAGGGAAAAGTCCAACTGCAAACAAGAAGATATCCAAAATTTATATAGAACTTCTACAAATCACCAAGAAATAGGCAGACAACCCAGTAAAAATTAGACAAGAGGTAAGTAGGTACTACACAAAAAAGTAGTGACCAATAAATGGTCATACAAATAAAGCCACGTGCGGTAACTCATACCTACAATCCCAGCACTTTGGGAGGTTGAAGCAGGCTGATCGCTTCAGGTCAGGAGTTCAAGACCAGCCTAGCCAACATGGTGAAACCCCGTCTCTACTAAAATACAAAAAAAAAAAAAAAAAAAATTAACCAGGCATGGTGGTGCATACCTGTAATCCAAGCTATTCAAAAGGCTGAGGCAGGAGAATCGCCTGAACCCAGGAGGGGAGGTTGCAGTGAGCCAAGATCGCACCACTGCACTCCAGCCTGGGCAACAGAGTGAGACCTCATCTTAAAAAAACAAAAAGCAGTGACTAATGAATGGTCATACAAATGAACAACAAACGTGTAAAACATGCTCAATTTCATTAGAAATCAGGAAGTGCAGATTATAACTACGAAGAGTTGCTACACCCACCAACCAAAATATCCAAAAAATTGAAAAGACTAAAAATACCAAGTGTTAGAATGTGGAGCAACGGAACAGAAAATGCTGGTGGGAATTTAAGTAGTATAATCACTTTGACAGCAAGCTGAACATATGAATACTGTGTGATCTAGAAATCCTACCAAAAGACACCAACAAAAATAGTCGCAGTAAAACTATTCTTAACAACCCTAAACAAGCCAAATATTTATCAAGACTAAAATGTATATACAAATGTTGTGAAAATCATACAATGCAATACTACAGAGTAATACAAATGTACAAACTACCTCTACAGACAGCCACATGGACAAATCTAATGAATATAATGTTGAGCTAAAAAAGCCAGTCATGAAGAATAAACACCAAACATTTCCATTGTTAAAAGTTTCAAAGGCAAGCAAAGCATAATTACAGTGATAGGAGCCAGGACAGTGGTTACCTGTGGAGAGTAGGGAAGGTATAATGAACAGAAAGTGTAGACTTAGAGTAGTCACATAAAATACAAGACGCTCAGTTAAATTTGGTAAACAAGTAATCCTACCCCTCCCTTCTCTTCCTCCCCTCTGCACTTTGTTTACTTGTTTTGCACAGGCATGGGTCTGGGCCTTCTCAGCAGCTGCCTTCTAGTTGGGGGTTAGTCTCTGATCTGCCGACTCCCGCCCAGCCTGTGTGGGAAGGAGGCCCACAGGCACTGAGGGAGCCGAATTCCACAATCCCGCTGGGACAGCGGGGCAGGAGAGAAAGGTGGTGCTGCAGTACTGGCCCTAAGGGGCCATTCGATTCGCCATAGTTGCTGCTGTAATAAAAGTCTACTTTTTGCTTAAAAAAAAAAAAAAAAAAGGAAAAAAGTCTTCCCCTGCTAAAAAAAAAAAGAAAAGAAAAAAAAGAAAAAAAAAGTCTTCTCCTGCGTAAATAGGTTCCATGCAATATTTGAGATGTGTATTTATTTGCTAAATCTGGCAACCCCAGTCAAGGAGGGTATTTTTGGAGAACTGGTAATATTTTATTTATTTATTTATTTATTTATTTATTTGGAGGCAGGGTCTCGCTCTGTTGCCCAGGCTGGAGTGGTACAATCATGGCGCACTGCAGCCTCGATCTCCCAGGCTCAAGTGACTTTCCCACCTCAGCCCTCAGAGTAGCTGGGACTACAGGCATGTGCCACCACACTTGGGTAATTATTTAAAATTTTTGTAGAGACGAGATCTTACTATATTGCCCATGCTGGTCCTGAAAGCCTGTGCGCAAGGGATCCTCCCACCGCCTTCTCCCAAAGTGCTGAGATTACAGGTATGAGCCACTGCTCGCAGCCCCCATACTTAATTTCTTGATGTTCATTTTGTGATCATCCATTGTGCCTCTTTCTGCATGTGTTGTACTTCACCATTTTAAAAGTGTTTTAAAAAGCAAAAACACACTCAGCACCTTGCAGATTTAAAAATAACCCCATCCGACCACTGTTTTTCCTTCCCAGCCTTAATCACTGCAAGTAAGAGCTATGCTACTTCTGCAGGAGGTGGGGATTGGTAATCAGAAGTGTTGCTGGGCAAAAAGCTGTAGGCTTTACTATCATTTTTTAATTAAAATTACTTTTACACAACATGCTTCTTTACTTCTGGAATCTGTTTTCATGTCCTGTCTCTCAGGGGCGTTTCTTATTTGCGTGGCTGGCTTATACTCACCAAAGGGCAAGGCAGTGCTGGAAGGCCAAGCTCTACCCATCAACCAACAAATGCACAAATTAGTGTTCAAAGTTAGACTCACCAGATGTGTGGGGGTCAGAATTCAATGGCCTGAAGCTACAAAGGAAAGTGGTTCTTTAGGGCCAACGACTTAGCTGCAGGCAGTGTTTGGAAACAATAAAGCCAAAAACTTCAATCTGCTGTCTGCTTGCAAAGGTTATCAAAGGTTTACACAATTGCCTTGAGTGACTCCATCTAATTCCCTCTTGGCTAACTGGGAATTACCTTCTGCAGACACAGCTGGGAGACCCAAGTAAAGAGTAGTAAACAATGTAAACAAAAACCCGAATCATTTTCCTGCTGTTGTTTAAGTGAGGTGCTATTTATTGGCAAAAGTTCTTTCATGCTCTGGGTTTTTTGTGTTGTGTTGCTGTATTGTGTACCTTCATCTTCTTTTGAAATGGACCCGTCCAGGGCAGGTGCCGTGGCTCAGCCCAGCCTGTAATCCCAGCACTTTGGGAGGCTGAGGCGGGTGAATCACTTGATGTCAGGAGTTCAAGGCCAGCCTGGCCAACATGGTGAAACCCCCATCTCTACTAAAAATACAAAAATTAGCCGGGTGTGGTGGCGGGCGCCTGTAATCCCAGCTATTTGGGAGGCTGAGGCAGAAGAATCACTTCAACCCGGGAGGCGGAGGTTGCAATGAGCCGAGATCGCCCCACTGCACTCTAACCTGGGCAACACAGCCAGACTCCATGTCAAAAAGAAAAAAAGAAAAAAAGAAATAGTCCCTCCCACTTCTAAATAGAGGAAAAAAAAAACTCTCCATGTTTGGGTGCCTGTTTTTATAAAGTTTGGTAGTAAACTTTACAGGCTGATAGAACTCTTATCTGCCACCTACCCCTCTTTATAGTGCCGGCTTTCTTCGATTTGATAATTGAAACGATAACTTTTTTTTCACACGGGATACCGGGGCTAATGATTAGGCTTCTGGGCTGTGGAGATAAGGTTGCTTGAAAGAAACGCAGCTTCACCAGTGAGACCGTGTAGCTCTGTGCCTCAGTTTCCTCAAAAGTAAAATGGGGGGAAAAGCTACCTAATTCAAAGGGCTGCTGGTTTATTGGATGCTGCATGAGGTGATTAAAGCACAGCACATGACACACATTAAACGCTCAATGGTTATCATCACTATTATTGGTTACCTTGGAGGGTCCTGTCACCTATAAGGACTCTATATATGTTTCTATATTAGGGAAAAACATTGAGATGCATTTGGAGGTGGGAGAAGAGGCCTATAAAGTTTGGTCCAAGTTGCAACCAACCCAGGGCAGCAGCAGGAAGCCTCCAAGAGAGGCCGCGGAGGTGGCCAGGCCACGACCCTGCCCGGACCCCAACCTCCAGCCGGGAGTCGTGACCTCGGACGCCTTGCCTACTCTACTGCCTTGCCTACTCACATTGCGGTTGAAGCTGTTGCCCGGCAGCAGAGGCAAGGGCATGGCGCTCAATGTCCGAAAATCAAGGGTCCCAGAAGAGAAGGCCCGGCCGGCAGCGGCCGCCTTCCGGCCGCGTTGTTTGGCCCCCACGTTACCTGGAGACGGGAGGCGGCGTCACGGAGGGAGGAGGGGCGGGGGGAAGGGAAGTGATCGGGGGCGGGGGTAGGGGAGACTTCCGCGGCGCCCACCTCCTGTCCCGCCCCAGCTCCCCTCCATCCCCTTTACCCCCGCACCGCACACACACACAGCCAGGTCCCGGTCTTCCGAGGAGTCTCCTGGCTGCACGCGAAGTGTGCACACACAAAGACTGACCGTCACACTGTTCCCTGCCCCCGCCGCTTTCTGGTTTAACCCCTTTATAGAGCTCAGAGCCTTTCTTGTACTTTCTTGCTTTTCGAATTCTTGTCGCCAACATTCTTTTGCTATGTGGTTCAAACACACAGCAAAGTACAGAAAATAATATGACGTCCGTGTGCTCACTCAGATGTTACACAAGTCGATGATTTCCTATGTTGCATAGAAAATCAGCTTTTATTTTGTAATTTAAAAGTTCACGACGAATCTAAGGACACATATACCCCTAACGAAAACACGTTGTAATGGTAACCACTGCCTTCAGTTTTCCCTCTAGATATTTTTATATTTGGTTTTTGTTTGTTTTTGTTTTGTGTTTGGAGACAAAGTCTCACTATGTTGCCCAGGCCGATCTCGAACTCCTGGGCTCAAGCAGCCCTCCCTCCTCGCCTCTGCCTCCCAAAGTGCTGGGATTACAAGTATGAGCTACTATGTCTGGCCCATCTTTATGTTTGAACTAAACGTTTGTAAGGTCCAATCGGGGTGGCCAGGGGCGGAGTCAAGTGGCACAAAATGCAACCCCTGTCACTCCATCATACACCCAAGACAGCCAGGCCAGGAACCTCCTAAAATCGTCTCCTGACACCTACATCTAATCCATCCCTGAAGCCCTATGGGTTGGACATGGTGCTATTTCTCAGTCACCACCTCGTCTATTTCAGCTGAGATACCATTGTTTCCTGCCTGGTTTTCTTCTTTAAAAAGAAAAAAAAGAAAAACAAAACAAAACAAAAAATAAACCCTAACTGATCTTACCTCCAGAGCCGTCGTTTTTATAATTCATGATGCAACTGTTACTCTTCTGCTTGAATAATCTAGCCTTCCCGCGGCCTTCAGAATGCGATGAAACTCCTTACAGCCTGATCTGAAGAGCCTTTGTCAGGCGGCGCCTATCGATGCCCTCCATCCCTGTCCTTGCCCCCTCCTCCATCTACTCCAACTCCAAACTGGCAGTTTCCAAATCAGGCTCTGCGGTTTCTCTTCCTGGGGCTTTTGCAAATAACACTATCAACTAGAAACTCCCTTCCTTTTTTTCACCTAAGTAACCCCTTCTTGTCTTTCACGACTTGGTTCAGCACGGGAGAGGGGCATGGAAGTTTTTGCCATTTCTTCAATATGTTTTTTCACCTTCTTCTTGCCACCTCCATCTGTATTTGGTGTCCATTCTAATTGTGATTTTCATCGTACTACGTTGGAATCACCTGTTTACTTTACACTTCTTTCAATGCCCCCAAATTCCTCCAGAGCAGGAACTGTATCTCTTTTTCTATTCAATCAAAAATATCCATTATTGTTTCTGTGTTTATAAATTTTACACTACATTTCTGCTTCTTGCTTTTTTCGCCTAAGATTTTGTTATTGAGGCTGGGTGCCGTGGCTAACACCTGTAATCCCAGCACTTTGGGAGGCAGAGGCAAGTGGACCACGAGGTCAGGGGTTCAAGACCAGCCTGGCCAAAATAGTGAAACCCGTTTGTACTAAAAATACAAAAAGTAGCCAGGCATGGGGGCGCATGCCTGTAATCCCAGCTACTTGGAAGGCTGAGGCAGGAGAGTTGCTTGAACCACGGAGGCAGAGGTTGCAGTGAGCCAAGATTACGCCACTGTACTCCAGCCTGGGCAACAGAGCAAGACTCTGTCTCAAAAATAATAATAATAAAATTCTGTTATTGAGATTTCTACACATTGACACATGTAGAGTTCATTAATTTTAAATGCATTGTATGATTATACCACAAATTGTTTAACTATCTGCTGTCATCTGTTGATGACAATTAGGTTGTTTCCAATTTTCCACTAATGACCAACAATGCTGCAATGAAGGACTCTACCTGTTCCTTTGGCAATGATCTAGGGCATACATATCGAAGTGCAGGCCTTCAGCTTTACTGGATTTTGTTAAGACAATCTCCAGATAGATAAACTAATTAAGAAAGTCCCCTTTCCCGTTCATCCTTTCAACAATAGGTATTAACAAATTGTATAAATTTGGATAATCATCTGAATAAGTGTAAATGGTGTACTATTGTTATTTTAATTTGTTTCTCCCTAAATCCTAGTGCAGTTGGTCACCTTTTCCCATGCTTGTTACTTTCGCCTGTGACTCAGCTATTTATATCCTTTGCTGATTTTTCTCTTTGCACATTTGCAGTTTTTTTTTTTTTAGATAGACAGATATACAGATATTCTGGATACTAATTTGAAGCATAGCAAATATTTTCTCATTGTTTATCTTTTAACTCCACTTACATAGAGTTCTTTACTGTATACATAAGTTTGTCATTTTACTCTACTCAAATGTATTATTCTTTCAGTTATGGTTGGTGGGTTTTTTTTTTTTTTTTTTGAGACAGAATCTCACTCTGTCGCCGAGGCTGGAGGGCAATGCCGTGATCTTGGCTCACTGCAACCTCCACCTCCCAGGTTCAACTGATTCTCCTGCCTCAGCCTCCTGAGTAGCTGGGATTACAGGCATGTGCCACCACACGCAGCTAATTTTTGTATTTTTAGTAGAGACCGGGTTTCACCATGTTGCCCAGGCTGGTCTTGAACTCCTGATCTCAAGTGATCTGCCCACCTTGGCCTCCCAAAGTGCTGGAATTACAGGTGTGAGTCACTGCACCTGGCCTGTTTGGTGTTTTGTATGTGAATTCGAAAATCCTATACTCCAAAAGAACAATTACTCTCCTACATGTTCTTGCAAACATTTTAAAATATTCCCTGTTGCTTTTTAAATTGAAATAATTTCAAGCTAGTAGAAAAGCTGAAAGAAGAGTCCAAATAACTCTCATTTATCCTTTCCCCAGATTCCCCAATTGCTTTATACATTACTACATTCATTTTACCATTCTCCCCATATATAGATTTTTTCCATTTTAGAGTAAGTTGCAGATATTTTGGCCCTTGACTCCTAAATACTTCAGTGTGTATTTCCTAATAAGGACAGTCTCTTACATAACTGAAGTATAATAATCAAAATCAGAAATTTAATATTAATATAATACTGTTTTCTTGTTTTCTGAGACAGGGTCTCACAGTGTTGCCCTGGGTGGAGTGCAGTGGCATGATCATGGCTCACTGCAGCCTCCACCTCCCAAGTTCAAGTGATCCTCCTACCTCACCGTCCCGTTGTCAGAACTACAGGCATGTGCCACAATACCCAGCTATTTTTTTTTTTTTTTTTTTTTTGTAGACATGGGAGTCTCATTATGTTACCCAGCCTGGCCTCAAATTCCCAATCCCAAGCAATCCACCCATCTCAGTCTTATAATATTATTTTCTGTTTTCTATTCTAAAATACTTATTCAAATTTTGCAATTGTCCCAATAGTGTCCTCTTTTTTTTGGAGACAGGGTCCTGCTATATCACCCAGGTGCAATCACAGCTCACTGCAGTCTCCGCCTCCTGGGCTCAATTGATCCTCCCACCTCAGCCTCCCTCGTAGTTGGGAATAAGGCACACACCACCATGGCCGGCTAATTTTGTTTTCTTTGTAGAGACGAGGGTCTCACTATTTTGCTTCAGCTGGTCTCAAACTCCTGGTTCCAAGCAGTCTTCCTGCCTTGGCCTCCCAAAGTGCTGGGATTATAGGCATGAGCCACCACACCTGGCCCATCATGTCCTTTTTTAGCAAAAAGAAAAATAATTTGTTTTGACCCAGAATCTGATGCAACATCACATACGGCACTTGATTGTCATGTCTCTTTATTCTCCTTTAATGGGGGAACAGTTCTTTCATCTTTCTTCGTCTCTTGTGACCTTGATATTTTTGAAAAGGATAGGCCATGGGTAGGCGTGGTAGCTCATGCCTGTAATTCCAGCACTTTGGGAAGCCAAAGTGGGTAGATCACTTGAGGTCAGGAGTTCGAGACTAGCCTGCTGAACATGGCGAAACCTCGTTTCTACTAAAAATACAAAACTGGCTGGGCGTGGTGGTGCCTGCCTATAATCCCAGCTACTCTGGAAGCTAAAGCAAGATAATCACTTGAGCCCGGGAGGCGGAGGTTGCAGTGAGTCAAGATCACACCATTGCACTCCAGCCTGGGCGATGCCATTTCAAAAAAAGAAAAAAGAAAAGGATAGGCCAGATATTTGGTAGATGTTTTTCAATTTAGGTGTGACTGATGTTTCCTTATGAGGAGATTCAGTTTATGGCTTCTGGACAAGAATGTCACAGGAGGACTGGTGTGTCCTTCTAGTTCATCAAAGGAACAGGCACATAATGTGCATTTTTTTTTTTTTTTTTTTTTTTTTTTTTGAGACGGCGTTTCACTCTTGTTACTCAGGCTGGAGTGCAGCGATCTTTGCTCACCGCAACTTCCGGCTCTTGGGTTCAAGCAATTCTCCTGCCTCAGCCTCCCAAGTAGCTGGGATTACAGGCACGTGCCACCATGCCCAGCTAATTTTTGTATTTTAGTAGAGACGGGGTTTCACCATGTTGACCAGGATGGTCTCGGCCTCTTGACCTTGTGATCCACCCGCCTTGGCCTCCCAAAGTGCTGGGATTACAAGCGTGAGCCACCGCGCCTGGCCCATAATGTGCATTTTTACTATCAATGAATGATGAGGTTCACTTTGATCACTGGGTTAAAGTGAAGTGTTCCAAGTTTCTGTCTACAGATAGATGAAGATATAGATATACATAGATGGATATATTAAAAGTCATGAGTTTATACTAATACCTCCAATTCCAATCAACATAATAGAGTACCTGCTGCTGTTACCCTCTCTG